GGCACTTCAGTAAAGCAAATTGATGTTAGTTTTATATTCACGCAGAGGAGCCCAGATGAGCTTTATGAAGAGAAAAGGTTGAATGAAATGTGTTTACCTTTCTTCTTTCTTTCCCTACTCTATTCCTCTAAATAATTGGATGGTGATTTTTTGGGGAAGGAAAGAGGAATTACTTACATGGAAGATGATCAGTTATCTCAGTCACTGGACGCACAGAGTTCCTTGGAAAATTAAGATTTTGCTGCCATCATGTGGACTCTCTGCCCACGGTTTTCTCCGTTCAGGAGGAACCATGACAGGAGACACATCCAGGCAGGATGCATACCTGTGAGATGGTGGGAAGTGGTCTTCAGGCAAAGACACTCACATGGTCCTGCTCTTTTAGCTTCTTCTCACAGGACCAACGCTCGATGACAGTCTTACATACATGGAACTTTTCCTCACAGGAAATGTTTTACAGCCGTGCTCATAACAGTAGCTCTCTAGGCACCACATGCCTGTGTAGAATGGGCTTAATGTATCCTGCAGCAGCTCACAGCCAAATGTCACCAAATGTCACAGCCACTGCCACAAGCACCCTGCTAACTCCATCACCTTGAGGCACATATATTAATGATGGATGGATAGGCCTCTAGAGTTTGTTTTGTGAAGAGCCGTCAGAAAACCAAGCACACTCTTCCAGAAGCCACAAGGGGTTTTCCAGGTTTCCTCTGGAGAGCTTGCTAGACCCAGGCAGGAGAGTCACTGAGGTCCCCTCACAGCAGTCATAGAGCTGATCCCGCCAGTGCCGCCCAGAGCATCCCACAGGTGCAGGGCAGTCCAGGCCTAGAACCTCCAACAACCCAGTACCAACCAGCAGGGACTCGACTGCAGCCGGCTAACTTGGGCTCTCCTCTAGGGTTGAACTGCAAGGCCTTCCTGCCCGGCTGTTCTAGGAGATGACACCGTTAACCAGAGCCTGCAGAGCAAGGACACACCACTCAGTGCAGGAATGGGAACACACTGGCGTGGAGTCATCAGGGATCAATTCTTCCACAGAAATTTGTAAAAAGTTGACATAGAATCATAGAATCCTTAAGGTTAGAAGGGACCTCCAAAGGTCATCTAGTCCAACTCCCCTGCACATGCAGGGTCACCTATAGCATGTGGCACAGGGCTGCATCCAAGCGGGTTTTGAAGATCTCCAGAGTAGGAGACTCCACAACCACTCTGGGCAGTCTGTTCCAGAGCTCTGTCACCCTCACTGTTAAGAATTTTTTCCTTAAGTTCCTGTGGAACTTTTGGTAATTCAATTTGTGGCCATTTCCTCTAGTCCTATCGCTGGCCACCACTGAAAAGAGGCCGGCCCCTCCTCCTCACTGCCTCCCTTGAGGTATTTATAGACACTGATCAGGTCCCGCCTCAGCCTTCTCTTCTCCAGGCTGAACAGGCCCAGCTCCCTCAGCCTTCCCAGAAAGGGCAGATGTTCCAGGCCCCTGATCTTCATAGGCCTGTGCTGGAGTCTCTCCAGCAGCTCCACATGTCATCTTTGTAAAAAAAATGACACAAACAGTACATACTACTCAGGTAATATGTGGCATTATCTTTAGCAGTGTGTGTTTTTTTCTCATAAGGTGGCCTGCAGGAGCGAGGTTTTCATGGCAGCCCCCAAGAGCCGCACAGTGACACACACAGTGCAGCGGCCCCAGCCAGCTCCTCACAGCCGATCCGATCCGAGGAGGAAGGGAGACTAATTAACTGAACAGAGYCCAAACGATTCTCTGCCACTGCTAGCACAATGTAAGGAGGGGCACCGGCACATCCGGCAGTAATTCCAGCCAGTCTGTCCGGTTAAAGTTGCCAGGGAGGGCACGTGCCGTGTATGCTTTTGAGGGCTGCAGGGACTGTCCTTCTGGAAAACTCCCTTCCACACACGTCCAAGCTGCCCAGCCCAGAACCAAGRACTCCTATCTTCTCCTTCCACCTTCCATTATTGACTTGGGAATGGGATGCCTCCAAACCTGATGGGAGCAAAAAAAAAAAGCAGTAAATTCCTGGTACAAATTGCCAATTGTCTCAGACATCTGCTTCTCTTGGCACTTCTTTTTTTAAAAAAAAAATCTTCCAGAATTAATCTGAAGCCTTYGCTCTGTTCCTGAAAGAAATTAGATGAGTGCTGTTTCTATAAACTCCATCTTCATGTGCTCTGCCAGGAAGAGCACGTTTTAGGAGTAATTTGTCTATACTACTGCCTAAGAAAATGCTAGTAAAAAGTGACCAGCAATCAGGAGAAAGCCTCTCATTCTCCTCCTTTCCCAAAGAGCGGGAGATAGGGACATATTTCCCAAACAAGCATGGCTGAGCCTTCCATGTTTTGATGTAAAGAATGTGCACTACAAAAAGAACTCATGTAGCAGTTAGATCAAAGACATGCTCAGAATGCAATTTTAAAAAGGTTGGTTTATGGGCTGTTAATCAGAATCAGTTTAACTGGGGTCATTAAATGTACTCTTATAAACCAGTTTCAACTTACAGGTGGATGAACATCTGGTTAGAAAACCAATGGGACAGACAGTAAGGGCTAATGGGCTGCACGCAAGCCAGAAAACARAAGAATTTTATTCCCCTTTCTGAGCAAGCCTTCGATTACTTGCTTATTCCTAGACCTTCTCTCTCCATAATGGAGAGAATAATGTTAAATTGGTAGTGTGAGGAGAAAGCCGTATGACACTAACTCTTCATTACAACCTAGAGTACACCAAAAAGCATGAAAATCCTCCCCTAACTTGCAAGCTTGCAGCACCCAGGTGATGACTGAAGTGGACAAACATCTGCTTCATACTTTTCACAGCATTTAGTACTTAGGCAAGAAGCTCAGAACAAGTCTTTTGATTACCCCTTGTTCACCTCATTTTGTTTCTAGTTGTTCTTCCCTGCTGCAGATTCCCCAGCTCCCCTTGTACCTTTATGTCTATGTCTGATGCTCTGTCTCTTCCTACCTCTGTCTTTTCCTTCCCACTGCTTATAATAAGGATATTTCCTAAGRATACCTAGGAGTACAACCATGTAACATCCAATCAGCTTTGTAACATTCCTAGGAAAACTGTAAGACCCACATTAAAAAATGTTCACCTTTTCAATTAGAGTTGCTCTTTTGCCTTTCCTTGGGTCTTGGCGAACGTATATCTTTTAAAAATCCTTCATATTTCTGTTTTCTTTGACTTCACTCCTGTTAACAAGTTTTGCCAAAGACCTTGTGCTGCAATAGCCTTTTATACTGCCAGTTTGCTGTTCCTGCATATTAGCTGTCATACTAAAATTATTGCGTCTCCCCCACACAGGAACTGACTATAAGCAACTGCTATTGGCAAACTTATTTACCGTGCAATGACTGTAGTTAGATTTTATCAAGATAAAATTAATCACTACTGCAACACTATGTGGAGTGCTGTCTACTGCCTAAGCAGAAACTGCCATAAATTTTGCTTAGATTRTAGAACTGCCTTCATCATAGTTTTTCCTATTATTGATTCTAGTTTTAGAAATATGAGTCTGATTTCTTGTCAAAGAAATGGTGATAAAGATTTAATCCTAGAACATGACATATCCAGAACTGATTCTAGACAAAAAGATATCTCAAATGAGCAGGTCTGTGCTGACTAACTTGAAGAGCCTTTGATCTTGATAGAAACATCCAGAAGGACCAAGCGCAACGTTACCATTATATCTGTAGTTATGGGAAATRCAAATTCCAGTTCCAACTTACTCTTGTTTTGCAGAAGCGAGCTAGTGGGTTTAGGCCAACATTACTTTAAAATCTAAATCCTGAGCATATTTACTCTCCCAAAATTATAGGAGATGGGGAGATTTGAGTGTTTCCAGATGATGAACAGAAGCCCTGAAAGGTTTGCCAAAAAGCCACAAAGCTGCTTCAGGATCAAACTTCTTTTTGTTTCAAGTGAAATGTGATCTATATTCTGAGAACATAGTAGAATATTTATAAATACACATTTAATGATCTGAACCTCAGTCACTTGACCAAAGTTGCAGAGAAACAACTTGTGTAAGATTTCAGTACAAATGCTGTTTGCATGTTTGTAAAACACAATTTCTGATTAAGTTGCTTTAAATAGGTAATTTAAAATAAATAGCCATCATTTGATTTGTTGTTTGAAATTAATTTATTTCTTTAAGGTAAGATGAGTTTAAGAAAAATATTTGATTCAAATCAAAACAGTATTCTAAATAATTTCTTTTCACTCCATATCCATATCCATAGCATGTCTTCCATTTGCATCTCCAGCTGCAAATGTGTAAGGCCAACATTATAAAGCTATATCCTAGAAAGGGTATCTAATGCAACCAACAGAAATGTGAACATCTTCCAAGCACATGGCTACCCTAAACTCATTTTTAAAGTAGGTGTCTGATTGTTTGGATGAAGTCAGTGAAGTACAATTAAGTAAAGCTGAGATCAAGATCTTTGATCTGAGTGCAGGAGTATTTGCCTTTCTTAAGTGTATCGCATGATTCCAGAACCATGCCTCAAGATGAGCTTTCCAGCRGCATTTCCAAGTTTTTCTCATCAGTGAGTGATCGCTCATCAGCTCAATGGGGTATGTGATAAAAAGAGAGGGCTCCAAACAAGCACATACAAATGAAACTCACATATATTTTTCAAGTAAACAGCATTTAAATATTAGGGTTGTTCATTTTTAAAAATATATTAATTCCCCACAGGGTATATTATCTACCACTGCACTTAGGCCATTTAAAATTGTCCATAGTCAAGCCATTTTCAGTCATCMGAAACTTTCTTGGGTTAACGGTTACCTGCAGCAGATGATTTTTTTAATTGCAATGAGATGAAGTGAAGGCTCCTTTTAGTCATTTCACCTTCTGTTTTATTTTCCTGTGTGACTGGGCAATGATGGTTGGTAYACAAGAGTCTGCATCCAGCACTCCTGACACCATGGTCTACGCTTAGCAGAGGAAAAGGGAAGCATTTCTCTCAGCCACAATATTAATAACAGATTTCCAATTAATTTTGTAACAATAATTAACAGGATTGGGTGAGTTTATTAAAATTGTACACTAGGTCCTTAACAGTGCAGCAATAACTCGTCTCCCCATATTCTACCCTAAGTACCTGAAGAAACTTTGTATCTGGAACAAATTCACTGCATTTTTTTTTTCCAAATTCATGATTCAGCTGTCTGAAAGGGATTCTCTGATCATACCAGCCTATGAACTTCTGATAATAAAAAAGAAACAATAAAACCAAAAAAGTCTGTAAGCTATGAGACAAGAGCCTACCAAAAGCATTGACACCCACCACTTCTTTTCATTAAATGAAACTGATACTGTATATATTCATAGATGATACTCTATCCGGACTGCTGAAAAGAACATTGTGGAAAGCAAATTTAGAAAAACAGAAGGCCAAAAGGCTTTAAAGAAAAATTCATATTTGAAAATTTATTTGTGCACTGTATAAGCAAAATGCAATTCACTTAGGTTGGCCACTTAAGGTTCCCAAATTGATGGTGTCAAGAAATACAGTAGCCAGAAATGTAACAATTCARATACAGTATTTATCACCACTTTCATCCACTTCTCACAAAAAAACCTATATTCAGACTAGCTACTGCAATTCTCTTCTTCCAGTCAAAACCAAAAGCTTCTTTACCGCACAAAGAAGAGACCTTTTATTTATTAATATTAAAATGAATGAAGTAAAATCCCTAYCTTTAACAGAATTACTGATGTGACTGTTAGGCTGAGTAAAGTTCCATATGTGAATTGAGCGAGTCTCAAAGCTGAGAAAAATGAAAAAGATTGCACAGTATACACAAAACGTGGCCGTACACAAAGTCATTACTGATGTCATTTTTCAGAGCACCATAAAAATTCACTGTTCCCGCATCTGACGCAAGTTAAACACTGGCAAAGCACAAAGTTGCATTAGTGCCACCAAAGCCAAATGAATTTGTGAGCGCAATGCGTCGCTTTTCAGTTTTCCACTCCTGAGCTGTTAGTGGAACATAATTGAGATCAAAGTCTGCCTCAGTTTTCTGCAAGTTTAGAGTAGGTGGCAGAATTCCATGGTAACAGGACAGTGCTGTAAAAGCTGCTTCGATGGCTCCTGCAGCCCCCAAGAGATGCCCTGTTGCTCCTTTCGTGGAGGAAACTGCCACGTTACGCGCATGATCTTTAAAAAGTCTCTTGATTGCCTGGTTTTCAGCAGCATCTCCTAGAGGTGTAGAAGTTGCATGTGCATTGACATATGTTATATCTTCAGGTTTGATTCCAGAATCTTTTATTGCTGCAGACATACATCTTAAAAAAAAAAGAAAAAGAAAAAAATACAGATGCCTAATTTCCCGTTATATTCTTATTTTTGATTACTGATCAATTGAGAGAGAAACAGATACATTATTTTAGGTGACATTCTGCAAGGAATGTAATAATTGAAGTAGACAACAACATATTTTAACTGTATGGAACACATTTTGTATGCACTACCTGAGTCTGGTTTTCTGCTCTCTTAAACTGCAGGTTCATTCCAACACATGTATTAGTTTCTAGAAGATGGCAAAATTATATCTCCCTGAAATTTTCTGACATGACAAATGAAATTATTACAGGACACTGCTGCACTAACAAACTATCTGTATAAAAGCTGTATTAAAATATATTATCTCATCTCATGGTGAAAAGGCTCAACACTTTGCAGATATCAAGATTAATTTTCAACTACTTCCCATTGTGAATTTAATTTATACACTACTGCAATCATAAAACTGTGCTACAAGGTAGTGTCATCATTTCAGAGTAAACAAGTTGGAAAACCTGGGATAAGAAACTCCTAATTATCCAGCTCGCACTTAAGACCACAGAAAAATTGTCTCGGAATCAAGCAGCATAGTGAGAAATCTGGTACATTACACCTCTTAAAATCCATTAATCCAAAGAGGATGCAGACAAAGCTTTGCAATATCATGCAAAAGTTTATCTATTTTGATCTATTTGCACAGTGATATATTGAATTTTGTTATTCAATATATACATGTATATTCAATATATACACAAATACATTTAGAATAATGCAAACTAGTAAAGCTTCTTGTGTTTGTCACCAAGGGCATAAAGACAGCTCACAAACAGTACATACGTATGTAATTCAAACAGAAATTTACTTAGTTGAATAAAGAGGGCTGCCATCTGGTTATGAACTRCTTTTGACAAGGTTAACATAGATGATGGTTTATCATTTTCCCAAGGTGTATTAAAATGTTGCATCTGCTGCATCTCTCCACCACTGCTCTACTAAGTGCATCAGAAGCCCAACTGAGCAAAGCATTTAAGCAGGAATGCAGCACAGGCAGATAGTCCCACTACTTTCCCTATGGAGACTTGCCCAAAGTCTTCATAGTCCATATAGTCCAGGAAAAGAGAATAGAGACAATTACTGCTAATGATATTCACATCAATTATTCTAATAAATGAGACTCTCCAAGCACTCTACAGCTTTTATCATTTGTGAGTCCTTTAGGGAACCCCTTACAGAACGCAGCAATAGTTTGACCTGCTTCAATAGAGAAATAGAAGTTGGAAGGATTTTTTCACACTAAGACACTAAGTCTTAAAGAACTGGTTTTCTTTGAGTCATCTGTGTAAACTGCTGTAGGCTTCAAAAGTAAAATATTTTCACATACAGAAAGTTTTCATAACTGTTCAGTAACATTGTTTCTAGCAAGAACTGGCCTTCATCCTGTTACTAAAAGAAGAAAAACGCGATGAGAGCTCACCAGAATTTCAGGTTTTTAGATTTCTGGGCATTTATGTATAATTTTTAACTGATGCATACAAAACTGAACAGCATTTCTCCAGGCAGAGCATACAATAACAGAAGCAAATTACGATTAATATATGAAGTAATCAGTGTGATTAGCACATGGGTTCTTACCTGAAAGCCCCATCTCCCTCTGGATCAGGTGCTGTAATGTGGCAAGCATCACCAGACAGTCCATAACCTAAAACTTCCGCGTAGATGCGGGCACCTCTTTGCACGGCGTGTTCGTGCTCCTCCAGCACCAGCACTGCTGCCCCCTCTCCCATCACAAACCCTTCCCTCCGGGAGTCAAACGGCCGACAGGCCAATTTAGGGCTCGAGTTGAAGCTGGTGCTGAGGGCGCGAGCTCTCGCAAAGCCAGCCAGGGACAAGGGGCTAATAGAAGCCTCCGTGCCTCCTGCCAGCATCACGTCAGCGTCACCGGAGGCAATGAACCTGAAGGAGTCTCCCACAGCGTGCGCGCCCGTGGTGCAAGCGGTGGACACRGCGTGGTTGGGCCCCTTCAGCTGGTACCTAATGCTGATGTGCCCCGCTGCCATATTAACCAAAATCTTGGGCACAAAGAAGGGGCTGACCTTGCTGTAGCCCTTCTCCTGGAACAAGGCGGCGGCGTGGGCGATCTCCTCCAGCGGCACCATGCCCATGCCGATGGCCACGCCGGCGGCGCGGCGCTCCCGCTCGCTGCGCGGCGCCCAGCCGGCGTCGGCCACGGCCAGCTCGGCCGCGCTGACGGCCATCACCGCGGCGCCGCTCATGGACCGCAGCTCCGCTCTCGACACGAAGCGCTCCTCCTCGAACCGGCCCTCCTCCTTCCCCCTCGGCACACGGGCCGCCACTCTGCACGGCACGCCGGCGTAYTCGGCCCCGTCCAGCGACACGATCCCGCTCTCGCCTTGGAGCAGGCGGCTCCACACCAACTGGGTCCCCACGCCCAGGGGGGACACCAGGCCAATGCCTGTGACCACCACTCTCCTGCGGCCCGCAGGCAGCGCCTTGGTGCTGAAAGCTCCTCTGTGCTTTCTCAGRTACTGGTTCAGCATCAGGCGCCGGGGATTCGCAATCTTCAGGAGTTCCTGTGAACACTGCGGGAGCATGGTGCAAATTAGTGGCTTCATGCAAAGTCCTGCAAAAGATAAGATACAARCACGAGAATAAAGGAGCCAATGTGAAGAGCATTCCAAGTACACTAGGTTGGTAACTTTCTACATGAAAACCTGTTTTCAACACTGCAAAAAAGGGATACAGTTTGTGTTTCCACTGTCCGGAAGAATATGTGCCATGGCAGAGAGCACAGCCACAGAGTCAATTTGCAAATACCCATGAGATGGCAGAACGGGATGCAATGGCCTGGCGGGCACTTTTAGCCTGARGGATTAACAAAGATGGCCGGGCACCAGTGGAGGCTGCCTGGCACCTGCTGGGCTGGCTGCCCTCCCTCTGGAACCTTCCCCACCACCAGGTGACTGTCAGTATCAACAACAAGCAGCACCTCAGTGAGGTATCTAGGAGGAGTACAGTCTGAAAGAGTACAGCCTACCGCTATGGTGTTAAGGATGTCATTATCTTAACGCCCACGCCAAGTAGAATAAGGAAAATCTGTTCCTCGATTGCTAACCAGCAGCCCTGCAACACCCAGACTGCAGACTTCCCAGCTCCCTGTGACCGGATCCATCATGGAACGTGCCCAGTGACACAGGAGGAAGAGAACTTGCAGCAGGAGGCCCCTCATGGGAGACCCATGCCAAGCAGCAGCACCTCGGCCCCCCTCTCTCTCTCTTTCAGGCCTTGTCTCMGTCATGGCTGGATCAGAAGCTGGTCTAATGCTGAAGCAGGACAGAGGCTACAGCACTTGAAACACACAGAACTGGCTTCAACGGCTCTGAATTTGTTGCTGGGGCAAATTTTAAGCTAATGGGCCCATTTTTTTTCAGCCTATTGTTGAGAGGGATGTTTACTTTTTTCCAGCCACTCTGCAGTTAGCAGAGTCACTGCATTTAGGAAAAAAAAAAAAAAGGCAAAAACTCAAAGCTCCAACCAAGGAGTACGCCTGCTGATTCCCGCWGTGCTGTTTTCCTCTCTCCCTCCGCCGGGGATCTCAGCAGCGTAGGGAGCGTTACTGGTACCTGCCTGAAGCCAAAACACTGACAAAACAGCAACAGGCACCACAGTCACAAGACCAAACATTACAAAGTCAAGKGTATTTTGCCTCACAGAAAGGGAAACATTAACGATTAAATACTCATTAAAACAGCAGGCACTACATTAAACCCAAGCACAGTCCCGAGACTAACGCATTTATTTAAGAAAACAAAGATGGGGCCCAGCCCCTCACGTGACCGTGCCCCCCCCCCGCGTCCCTCTCCGACGACGTCACTGCCGGCGCCGCAGCCGCCACTACCCGCCGGAGCAGGGGGACTAACGCCAGCAGGGGGAGGATCTGTCCCGCTCCCTTTTCCCTAGGGGTCCAAGAGCGCCCCCGTCTCCTTGGAATGCCWTCCCAAGCCGCGGAGGCCCCGCCGGTACCTCCGTTCCCCCCCAGGCCGCTATGGTTCGCTCCGCCTCCCTCCGCCGTTCCTGCGGCGCCGGGCTGAACCACACGGGGCGGCGGGGGGGGGACGCCGCTCCGCCTGAGCAGTCGATCCCCGATGTTGAGATGGMCGAGGGGGCGCGATGGGCGATCGGCGCAGGAGGAGGCGCCTGCGCAGTAGCGCCGCGTGCCTTGAGACTCGGGCTCGTCGGGAAGCTAGGCCGGTGCTCGGCTTCCCTCTGGAAATAACGGCCCTTGGAAACCCAACGGGTTCCTAATTCCGTCTGTTTGGCTTTTTTTTTTTTTTTTTTTTTTTTTTCCCCACCACTTCGCTATGAACACTTTCAAGCACTGTTTGGAAATGAAACCTCTATGCTCATTTAATACTGTGTAATAGTGTCTACTAGTAATTACAAACCAGCATGAGTTTTTAAGAACCTTCATTTCAAAATTTTAACTCTGGGTTTCTTAAGGAACTTAATTAACATGGACCTTTTTCGCTAAGATCCTCCAATGCAGTTCTTTAACTAGTAACAGGAATTAGAGAATAAGCAGAACGGTGTTAGAAACTTTATTATTATTTATTATTTAGAGAGGCTTTAAGTGGAAGTGGAAATAATGATAAGGATGGTCACTGCACTAGCATTCTCATCGTTTCCAACGTAGTTGAAGCGGCTGAAATTGCGGCAGAGAATGTAACACGCAAAGCTGGTGTTAAAAAGCACTTCCAAGCTTGTGAGGCGCTGTCCGGGCCGAAGGGAGACCCTGAGCTCAGCATTGSCAGAAAGGCCCTTAAGGCTCTCCCCCTCCACCCCTCCCCAACCAGGGAGCGGCCATTAAGGGCAGCGGCGTCACCGYTCCCGCTGCGCATGCGCGCGGCGCCCGCCCGCCCGCCGGCTGCTCGGGCCCTGCCCGTCGGGGCCGGTGCGCGGCGCGATGGCGGCCGCCGTGGGACTCTCTTCCTCGCCGGCTTCCCCGGCCGTGAGCGAGCTGTGCCAGAACGGCCGGGAGATCTTCCTGGAGGCCTCGCGGCTGCTCCTCGCCTACGCGGACAACATCCTCCGGTGAGCGCCGCCAACGGCCGCGCTATCAACGGCCAACGGCCGCGCCGCCAACGGCCGCCCCGTCCTGCCCCGCGCGGCGGTCCGCAGGTCCCGGCGTGGCCAGTCGGGCCCTTTGATTTGTGCGTTATCAGGGAAGCGCGATTAACCAGTGAATTTAGTCATTCCCGTTGTGGTACAAATGGTTTATTTCAAATACCGTGCAGTGACTTAAAGCAGCTCCAAGTGTGAGACTAAATCTGTCATTCGTTAGATGTGATTCATTTTTGTGGCTTAATGCCAGAGATCAAGGGCGTCACAATTCTTTTGCCAGTACTTAAAAATAAGTTCGTTTTCCATAAAAGTCTATATTGACTTTTTTATTCTTGCTGTTATTTTTTTTGATTCTGTGGACTTATATTTTCTTATGCATAGAAGCATCTTTTAGTTCTAGCATGTAAGCATTCAAGCACCTAAATACAAATGTGTAGATAAATATGACTTAAGTAGTTTCACTAAAGTTAAAATCTTACTCTTCTGTTATCTTCTTATTCTCCAACTCGCTAAGACTGGAGTTGGTGATTAGTTCTGGTTTATTCTGGTGATTAATACCTTTTGCAAGGTGTGATCTCTAGCGTGTGGCATATTAATATATACAGTTGACCCTGATGCTTTTTTCAAGCATGTTTAGCTGTATGAGCTATATCAGCCGTGTATGAGCTCCATGTGTGCCAACCACATGCAAAAACTGCTGGGTAAAGTGAGGACATGAAGAATAGTGGCTTCTGGTGTTGGCTGTTCCTGAACAGAGGGTTGAGAGAGGAAGAACATCTAGAAGAGTCRGAAGAGGAAAGGGAGAGCTTTGAAAGCCAGAGAATGGTCTTAATACTTTTGCCCCATGTACCAGGAATCACTTCTGCAGTGACCCTAAGACCTTCCATCCTTAAGCTGAGGGAGAGGTTTGATTAGAMAGTTACAAGGCGATCGGGAGGTTGCCTTTAACTGTCACTAAAGGTCAGGCCCTGCTCACCAAGGCTATGAAATACACATTCACATGCTTAAATTACGAACTGAAATTTGAAACCAGCTTATAAACCTTAATGTTAAACACAGAAAGGCTTGAGTAAAAATGTACATTTTAGGTGTGTTTCATCTTCTGTATTCATAATATAAATGAAAATGAACTTTTTTCTTTAAGCTTTTATGAATCACTAGTGTTTCATAGTAGTTAACAAGCTTTTCATGTTTACTAAATTTCCAAATATAATTAAAACTTTTAATTTCTTCAGATATCCTTATGAAGAAAAATACAGATTCATTCGGATTGGAAATCCAGCGTTTTCTACTAGGCTGTTGCCTGTTAGAGGAGCAGTTGAGTGTTTGTTTGAAATGGGCTTTCAAGAGGTTAGTATAAGCTGGTTATTGTCTTCAATATGCGTAGTGTGTGTATGTTTGTGTGTGTGTGTTTTGGTTTTATGCTTTTTTGGTCTTTCTTTATGTTCTTACTAATTTGCTTCATGGTCAGGTATCCATGCTGGTGCAATGGAAGTGATGGGAACTCCCAATTTTAGTAGTAGATGCTATTAGGTTATTATGTTAGTTAAATTAAACTAAATCCTCGCTATAGTTTCCACCCAGTATAAGTGTATGTGGAAGCTATCTTTTAAAGAAATCATCCTGCAGTTGCTTGTGGAGCTTATGTGGCCACAGAAAGTTAGATAAGAGAACTGATCTGGCTGAAAGCTGACTAGCTTAGACCTGCATTATTTTCTAAATTAACTTCTAAATTTCAGGGAGAAACTCACCTGGTTTTCCCTAAGGAGGCATCAATTGAACAGCTACGTAAAGTCAGAGATTTAATTGCTGGAGAGAGAAGTAGCAGACTGAATGAGTCAAACCACCTCCACAGATCGGGATCTTCTGGAACTGCAGCCAGCACTCAGGCAGTTGCACATCAGCCTTCAAGACCTGCTGACCCTGTCCTTGCCCCTGCCCATCGGCAGCAAGAAAAATCACCTGCACAACCTCTTGAAATGGTAATTTAAACTTAAAAACTTTGTAGGAGCATTAATCTTGAATATAGACAGTGAACAGTAGTCGAGGTTTGAAGCAGATTACTCAAAGAAGTTATGCAGTCTGCAAAACTTGGCAGTTTTTGAAACCTAACTAGATGAAGTCTGGAACAAGTTAGTCTGTCCTCATAGCTAAAGCCAAGCTTGAGCAGGAGGTTTGACTAGAGGGCTGCTTTTTAAATATATATATTTACTACTAGTTTCTGAAGTTTTTGGAGGTTTTATTCAGTCTTCATCCAACTGAAACATCAAATGTGCCATAAATAGAATACCAGTAAGAGATTTTGTTGTCTGAGATTCAAAGCAATTTGGACTTTTAGAAGTCAGTTAAGTGGGAAATACTGCCTTTAAGGAAGTCTTCGGAGGAGATTAGTGTTTATCAGGCAGCTGCCTTAGCAGCCTTTGAAGGTTTAGGCAAACTTTTGTTTGTTAATTAAAAAAGAATATTAGTTTTGGCATTCCTATGCTGCACTCAGGGTCCCATCCCCACCCGTGATAACCTTTGAGAAAGGGAATCCTGTGGACACTGTAACACTCAGCCATTTAATATAATTATGTTAGCAGTTGTCTGTAAAAGACAGTGACTGGGTCTCTTTGCTTTTGGCCGGTTTATTGTTTTTTACAATTGTGGCTGCTTCTGCCAAGATGGTTGGAAGTAATTGTGAAACCTCTAGAATGTCTGCTCTAGTAGTGGTCAATATTGAGGACTTTAGAAGTTATGTTGGATCTTGGAGCGAGAAAATYATTGAGTTGTATAATTCAAGTTGATGTTTGCTGTAGGCTGAAGTTAAATCTTTTCATTTGTAGTTATTTTGCCCTGTCTCTTGCTAGCAATTGGGGTTGTTGATCCATCTCTGCAACTAATGTTTTTCTAGGCTTCTTGACATACAGCATGGGTGGCAGGACTAAACTTATTACGGGTAGAGACAGCTCTTGCAAAGATAGTGCTCTGTTAGAACTCTGTTTTGGCTGATTTCCTTAGGGAATTATGCTGATACAACGTAAATAGCCCAGGGTTATATAGTCTGGGTTGATTAGAAAGGAGTCCTTAAAATACTTTTTTCCTGCAACTTGGGCGTTTTGTTTACACGGGATTAAATGTTCTCAGTTGCAGACTCTCAACTTTCTTTTTTCCCTCCTTGCMCTAATGAATATACTGCAGAGATGTRCTTCTGTTATTGTTGTGAATGCCTGGTGTCAAATGTCAGAGAAATTGGGATAATTTTTGTAATACAAGCATTTTTATTTCATACCTGTGTGTTACCCGTGTGGTTTACGGCAGTCTTGGTAAGTCTGAGACAAAATGGATTACTCAAGCTAACACAGGAATATTCCTAGCTGACGTGGCACTGTTTTAGGGAACAAGCCCGTCATTATCCTCTTTCTCCTCCATTATCCTGCCTTTTATATTTGTAAGGAATTCTTGATAGTTTTGGGGAGAGGAAAGCTCTGGGTAGTCATTGCTGTGGTGGATGGATTATGATCACTTGCTGCATGATGTGGTGATGAGAGGTTGCGAAGTGTCCAGAYGTAGATTTATAGTGCTGAGGTTCAGTGCACATCTAGCTGTGTGCCTAGACAGCCTTAGAATATGCTGCCATATGGTGCCATTAAACCACAGAGTCGAGCACTGCTGTAACACAGATATTGATGGCCTGTGGGAAAGCTAGAATTGTCAAAGCATCTGAGGGATTCTCTGGTGTGTTGAACCACATCTCTGAATGCTCTTCTGAGCTATTGACAGATTTTGAAGATCTGTAAACCAATTGAAGCCTCTGACTTCTGCCAGGATGCATTTTTAGAAGTCCTAGATAGCTTTTTCTGTTATGCACAGTAGAATATAACACATTCAAGAATCCTAGTTGTAAACTTGTTTAGCAAAATTATGCCATGCTCAGCTGCTAAGAGCCTGTTGCAACCTAATTTGAAGTTGTCTGGAGGGATTGGAGAGAGAACCTGTTGCCCAAATCCCTCTCTGTTTTCTCTTCTGCAAACTTGCATTGCAGTTTTTCTGAGCACAGCTGGGTTTGTGATGTTTTGACCTCTTTCAGCAATTATGAAAAATGASTGGTCCTGTAGTACTGTCCAGCAATAAAATAATCCCAATTTAAACACCGCTTCTTCTGTCTTCCTCCAGAAGACAAGGGTCTTCTGGAGGATTTTCTCACCTGCATGTTATGTTACATTGCTGGTGGCCCTGGGAAGATATGGCATCTGCCTGTAACTTTTTCAATGAGACGTGTCATTGCCATTGAGTGTCTAAAATCTGACTGAAAAAGCATAGGCAAAAATATTGTCATCAGAGAAGTGTGCTTAAAATATTGTCAGTTATTGCTGGATCAGTTTGTTTTTCAGTCAAGGCTTTGAGCATTCCCAGTGCTCAAAGATGACAGGCCATATTCACAGTCAAAGTGGTTGTGGTGGTTGCTGCTTTTGTTGGTATTTTTATAAATGCAGATTTCTCCTGTAAAGAATTTGGTAATGTGACTGCAAGTATGAGATTATGACTGATTCAAAACAGAGATAAGAGAGTTTAGTTCTGCTGCTCAAGATGAGTTCAAAAATCATCTTGTGACTGGAAATCCTTTTGCAGGCTGCAGATATCTTGAAAAAACTTCAAACAAACTTTGAACATTTTGTATTGGTGTATGAGAATCCTTCTCTTCAGCAGAAAGCACTAGCTTCAATTCCCCTCCAAGAATTGAAAAGGAAGGCTCAGAAAAAGCTGGCACAAGCTACAATACTGGATAAAGGTAATGCTACCAAGTTCTGATTTGTATGAAACTAAAATGCTCTCTCAAACTTCTAAGTGTGATGTATGTGACTGCCATGCTTTACACATGTGAATTAAGCCGTATGTCTGCAGTGTCAAATGGGGGCACTAAGTTAGAATTGCCTTCTGCCTTGTCTGGCTCTTGTCTACGTATTTTTTTTTTTCCCTCTTCTCCCTTTGCTTTGTGCCCTTTGCAAGTGACTTGCATTACTTTCATTTCATTCTTGTCTGTCCATTTTCTGCTGCTTTCAGGTAGGGAAATTTAATAGGGTAAGTGTTTACAGTTACTTGACCCTAAATAGGAAGAGTGGAGCAGAAAAGATGGAGGGAGCATTTTTGTTTCTCCTTATGTAGTTACTGCTCYGAAATTGAATTGGAGTGTGATTACTCTATAAATATTATAATTCCAATTGCAGAATTAAAAAAAATAAAAATGCAGTTTCTTATTTAAAAGATAGGTTAGAAAGAAATTCTGCTAATGAGTTTTGGTCAGGGTGCAAGCTGATATCCAGACTCACCATTCTTGTGAATGTTTAAATCTGTAGGTCTATTCAGAGGAGAGTCCCCTTGAAGCCTAAGGTGATGCATAAGTGTAAATATTTGTGACAGGCATAAATAATTGTGACATCCATAGCTTCTTTTGAACATACTAAGTATTTCTCAGTTAAAAATAGAAATGTTTTTAAGTTAAACTTTGACAAACTTAGATATTCAGTACATGAATATGACAAAACTTTATGTGTACAAAGTAAACATCTTCAAAACTGGGCTTCCAGAGCTGTATTTAAGCACAAAAGTCCTTTTCATCATAAATCTTTTCATTATTTTGATTGACTGAAGCTGTAGGTAGAAGCAAAGGACGGGTAGAAGAACCCACTGCRCTTTATTAGGCTGTGACAACCTATATTTTAAAATTAGGCTGTGACAACAAGTATTTTAAAAGCTTTACAGAAACAAGGGCTGTGTATGAGATGCCTGCCTAGTCAGCCCTTGCAGCTTCTTTGTGTAACTGCGCTCCTGTATTCAGACTGTCACCTGTGGCAATAGATGCTTCTTACTAGGTGACATTTGTTTTTTTAAGGTAGACCCCTGCCTTTTAAGGTAGACTCCTACTAGGTGTCAGAGGCTTTTTGGCTCATAAAGATCATGCTAATAAAATTACGATAATTAGAACAAAACTACAGGTTTTTGACTTTGTTTCCCTTGACCACCTTCCATTAGAAAAAAAAAAATTGTCCCACTGAAAGTAACTGTATGTTACTACCAGCCATTTCTTGTTGAGAGAGCTCACATTTGTCATGCTTCCCATGCTGTGTTTCCATGAAGAATCTAGTAATGAATCAAGAGAAGACCAGTCATGTAATGATAATTATACTTTCATAGAAGGATTCTGCTTTGTGCTGTTATCCAGTAGGAAAAAAAGTCCTACAGCAGAACGTTTGAAGTAAAATGTAATCATATCCACCGTATAAGCTTTGACGTTTAAATGCTTTAGCATGAGTGCATTTTTTATGTATAATACATTACAATGGAAATTTTACTACAAGTAAAAGTCGCTTTGAAGTCTTGGTTTTCTTGTTTTGGTTAGGAGATAAGGATCTCTTATTCTCTTTGTGTTCTTCATGGTGTGTTTTTAATAGAGTTAGTAGCTCAAYGACTCTTCTGTACCAGACCAGTCTGCTTCAAATCCAGAGGAAGATTTAAATTGAGCTTACATATTTTCATCACGTGGGGATTTTTTTTTGTAATCCTGAAAGAACTGTAATGCARTTTCAGTACAACTTCCCTTTTATGTATAAATTCTTTTTACATGTTCATGTTCCTTAGGCCTGTGTGTAAATGTGTTTATAAGCAACTATAATATGTAAAATAACCAGATGTATTATTGCAGGATGGTCTAGGTGATGGAATTAATGAGAAGACTTAGTTGAATGTTTATGAATCTGAGGAGAAGGATCTCTGAGCRTTTAAGCAGAATATACATTTAAATTAAAAGCTTTGCGGAATTAGAATACAGAAGGGATGGATCTCTTCCATTTAGAAGGCTGGATTTTATAATTTGTTAATTAGGTAAAGTGGGATTTCTTCCAGATGGTGGAATAGCAGCAGTGTGAGAGAAGCTTCAAGCACCTGCTCTGGATTCAGGAAAACAGAAGAGTCTGATGTTCAAGTATGGGGGAATTGGCTAGAGAGTAAGAAAATAAGATGTCCTGTGCCTAGCTTGGGTAGGCTGAATTCAGAGGCGCCTTGCTGAAGTTATTAAGAAACTTAATCTGTTCACAGAGCTTAATTACTGGAAATATATGTACTGTGCATATACTTTGCCTGCAGAAATTCTGTTCACACTACACCTGATTGGGTGGACTGCTGCTAGGGTCTGGAAGTGTGTGTGTTTYAGTATCCTTGAAGATTATATAGCCCAAGCAATTGTTATTCTTAGCTACTGAGCTAAGAATAAAAACATGACTACCATGCTGTCTCTTCCAAAGGCATGAAAGGATATGAAGGGCATCCAGGACTTTGTCCATCTAACTTGTTTTGCCRATCAATCTCTCATCTTCATTTTAGCTGTGGTGTTCTAGAGTGGAGTCTTTTTGTTCTTTGAAATACAGTTTGCCATTATCCAGTCTCTAAACCCCAGATTTTCTTTGGTACTTTTTTGTTCTTTTGAACAGCATATGAAACTTTAAAAATACATAATGAGATTTCTGATATATAATAAAAGCATTAATGCAGGGTTTTATATAGGTACTGAAAAGTTCAGCTAAGTTGTCACTTTGCCATTTGACTTCCTATGTTAACTTTGCAGGTGCACATGTGAATGAAGAGGACTTCTTGCTGTTGGAGCTTTTGAGCTGGTTTAAGAATGACTTTTTTCATTGGGTAAATCATCTTCCTTGCAGCAGATGTGGTGGGCAGACACAGCCTAAAGATAACGTGGCACCTACTGAGGACGATCTAAGGTGGAACGCCAGCCGAGTGGAAAACCATTATTGCAGCCAGTGCCAGCTCTGTAATAGATTCCCCAGGTGAGCATGTGAAAATTGGCCTTGTTTTCCTTGTCTTCAAGAGACAGCTTTGCCTTTAGGTGTTCTGTGAACAGGTGAGAGTTGTTGGACAAAAGGCTAGCGATTGTTTTAAGCATCACAACAGGATAGAGCCTGAACCATSAGATCATTCCATAAGCATTGGAAATTCTTAAAAACGAAATGACTGCTTTCTTTTAATGGGCTTTGTTCTGAAAACTTGTCTTTTTCTGTCTATTAATTCAATAAAGTACAATTTATGTACAATTTAGTACAATGCCAAGAGAGATTGTGCAGGAGATCTTCAAAACCGGCTTGGATGCAGCCCTGTGCCCCGTGCTCTAGGTGACCCTGTGTGTGCAGGGGAGTTGGACTAGATGATCTCTAGAGGTCCCTTCCAACCTTAAGGTTTCTATGATTTTATGATTCTGTGATTTCAAAATATAACAAAATACTGTAATATTGATGTAGTACATAGGTGGCTTTTCTTACTTTATGGAAAATTAGTTTACTTTGAAAGACTACAATASACTTTTTTTCTGACTCTGGTACACATTAGTTCATGAATCATGCTGCAGTTCATGAATCATGCTAACTAGTGTAAGCAGCAGCTTACAGAAGGCCTTTTTGTAGTCTGAGATCTAAGTAAGTTTTCAAATTGAAGGGGAAAAAAAAAAAAAAAAAGGAATTTCAGTGCTGCCATGAACAGCTGAGAGGCACATGGAAAGTCCAGGGTGCATCCTGCTCAGGCACATGGAAAGTCCAGGGTGCATCCTGCTCATACCTTTGCAGTGTGGCAAGCACTCTTGGTACCTTGTGTAGACTCAGATCTGCTCAGGTCAGAGCAAAGAGCATCATGATACAAAGGTTTATTTAAAGCAGAATGTATATTCTCTACTAAGATAACCTAATTTGTAGAATGTGTGTGTAATGAATAAAGTTACTCTGTTTTCTCTGATTTTTATTTTTTTAATTTCTTTTTTCTTATTTTCTCCCTTGCCCTCGCTCCTCTCCCCGCCAGGTATCATAATGCGGAGAAACTTTTGGAAACCAGACGTGGACGCTGCGGCGAGTGGGCTAACTGTTTTACACTGTGTTGCAGAGCTGTAGGGTTTGAAGCTAGATATGTATGGGACATTACAGGTATCAGCTGTATTAAAACATCTAAATATTTGTGTAAGCACGTGCAAAGTGAGGCTAGATATTTTGTGGTTCCAAGGTTATAGCAGACAGAATCTAAGACTTTGTAGCATCTAAGGTCTCATGAAGGAAATAAATTCACTTTCCACTCTTGCTTGATGAGTTGGAATATGTAAGTAGGGTTGGATGGCTGATTTCAGATTAATGCAATATTTAGCTKAGTCTAAAGATAAAATGTAAATACAGTGTAAAAAAAGAGAAAATGGGCTTTTTCATATGTTCCTTCTTTTAACAAATAGGGAATAGTTATGGTGTTTGGGACTGTTAAAAAGAATCTGTCTTCGTAATTAATTGTGTCCTCTTGGATTTCACTATATAGATCATGTGTGGACTGAGGTGTATTCTGCATCTCAGAAGAGATGGCTTCATTGTGATCCCTGTGAAAATGTCTGCGATAAACCTCTGCTCTATGAAACTGGGTGGGGAAAGAAGCTCTCCTACATAATTGCTTTCTCCAAAGATGAGGTAGGAGTAATTACAAGTTTGCCCTGAAGCATGAATGTGCAAATAGTGTATGTTAATATCATTTCCAGAATTATTAGAGGAAAAAATGTTGATTAGCAAGCCTCTTCAAAAAATCCTGTACATATTACTTTCTTTAATTTGMTTTGTTTTCTTTAACTTGTGCTTGAGGTTGTTGATGTCACCTGGAGATACAGCTGTAAGCATGAAGAAGTGCTCACTAGAAGGACAGCAGTCAGTGAAGCTACACTGCGAGAAACAATTAACACCCTTAATAAAAAGGTATCTAACAGTCTTGTTTGGAAAAACAATTATTTTTTCACAGTCTTGTTTGGAAAAACAATTATTTTTTCACAGTCTTGTTCGGAAAAACAATTATTTTTTCACTTAATGTGTGAAATCTTTGAACAAGGGGGTAACATTTTTGTTTTGTAATCTCATGGAAATGCCCATGGGCTATGGAATTTAAAAATATTGCTAACTGTAGAGGTCTTACTTTACATGAATAATAAATAAATGATCAGTCACAATGCTGAACTCATGTGAAATAAGATAAAAGAATGATATGCAAGAGGCTTAACCTACTGTCTCTTACACAATCAGTTGAATCTAGTCTTTTTACTACTTTGTTTTTAGTCATAATGATTTTGTAGTATTTTAATGGCTCTTGTCTATTAACAGACATGGGATAAACTACAGGTGTTTTGCAACTGTGTCAGCTCCTTGAAGGCAACTAAGCATTCTTTCCTTAAATAATGCTACAATATGAAAACAGGAATATACACAGGTGTAGGAAATACAGGACTAATTTGTCTTAGGTGACTTTTGACATACTGTAGGAAATGAGGAGTGATAATTCACAGGCTGTTTTGAATACCTGCAAGAAATGTTAATGCTGTCAGCAGGGGTTTGGCTCAGACCTACATAGCCTGGACGTGCCCAGTCTCCCCAAAACATGGAATTGTTTTCATCTAGATGTCATAGCCCACCAGAGGCAAAAACCGAAYGCACTCGGAAGCTTTCTGCTAACAGAAGCTTTTCCATCCCATACCTGAGGCAAGCCAAACACTTTAGGCTGAATGCACTAGAATCCCAAAAAACTTTGAACCACTTGCCTGTTCAGTTTTGTCCTCCCTTCCTTCCAGGGCTAGGATTTGTGCTCTTCTATGTGTTCATATGCATAGAAGTTTCTGTTACTTATGACTATAGGCAGCTATTGGGTTAATAAATAGCCTATACCTTTTAAGAGGCTTGCTGGCTTACAGAGGCTGGTAGGCATATGCTGAAAAGAGTGGGCAGAGTTGAACTGGAGTCAGGACCTCAGCCAAACCTGGTTGAGCAGTACAGGCGCTTCATGCAGAGTTTGAGGTTCACAGAACACATGCAAGGGAGCCTCATGAGTTGGAGTTGGCAACCTCCGCTACTGGGCCCCTGTCCTCCCACAGCCTGGTCTAGAAAGGAGCCTTGGAGGTGGCAGCCATTTCACAGCCATGTGAGTGGTGGCAGGATGGGGACCTGTTAGTGGAAGGTTATGATAATATTGATGGGATCGGGAAGGTAAATGCAGCGCAGACCTGGGGGCTCATCTGCCCTGCTTGTCTAACCTGAATTCTTAGTTCTACTAAGTAAAAAAATGCTAATAAAAGTATTGATACTCAGATGGCCAGGCAAGTAGAATGAGGAAATCCTGAAGCTGCTTCTCATCCTCATCAGTACCAGCAGAGCTGTATTTCCACCATTGACAGAGATAYTTTTCATAATTGCCTATATCTACTTTCCTTTATCCTGTTCCATGCTGTTGCCTGGAGCAGGTATTTGAGAGGCCTTTGTTCTTCTGCTCCCTGAAAGAAAAATTGCTGTTGAGATAATGGGAAACCTGTTGGCCTGAAGTAGCAGCTCCTAATGAGCAGAGTGTGCTCACTAGAGTGAGGGAGGACACCGAAGTGCAGATAGAAGGGTGTCACTCTAGAGCATAATTACAGATATAATTTCTCTGAGTATTTTTATTTTGTTTGTTTTTAAATATAATTTCAGAGACAACAGTCTTTGTCAGAAACCAGAAGAAGAGAGCTCCTGGAAAGGACAATCGTGGAGCTTGTTGAGTTCATTTCTCCTAAAACCCCTAAACCTGGTGAATTTGGCGGAAGGACATCAGGTTCAATGGCTTGGCGAGTAGCCAGAGGCGAAGCTGGCTCTGAGGTATTTAACTTTCAAGAGGCTACTGCCTTAAAGGTGGCTCGTTAATGGTTCCCACATGAGGATTTCACAGTGGTCTACAGTTCAAAAATATTTGGAAATCATTGATCTAAAGAGTGTGATCTGCACTTACAAGTTCTCTTGATTAGTTATAGGTTATAGGTGGAGTTTAGGGTGGTTTTATGCTTTGAGGAAAACTTGTAAAAAGTATATTTTTATTGTTTGTTAAAGCCTAAATACAGTTATCAGCCAGCTGATAAAACAATATAGGAACAATTGAGATCATGCGAATGAAATTGCTTCTCATTAATTGATTTTCATGTCCAAGTTTGCTGTTTCAAAAAGATAGGCTTATTTTTAGTTCTCTTCTGCTACAATGCAGTTTCCCAAAATCTCAGCCATATTTAGCTTGAGTGAGCATGCAAGGGTGTAACATACTCCACTGACGTGATTTTGTCATGTAGAATCACAGACAATTCCAAGTAGAGCTGGTTAGGTGAAGTTAATAGGTTTCACAGAACTGTTTGGCAACTAGGAGTTTAATTTCAGCTCTCTGTAGTTTAGTTCTGTTTTGTTGAATCTCCAAAGAACAGTAACATGTCTTTAAAAATATATAGAATACCATAGAGTTATGGGGTTTACCTTTTTTGAGGCTGTTCTGTAAATGATATTAAAGCATCTMTATATTATAGTCACAGAAATATACTTGGTATTCAGAATAATGATTTGTTTCTTGTTTGTACAAGAAATACGAATTTTCTATTTCTAGAATGTTCAAGTCGAGATTCTTTTCAGGTGGCAGCAAGACTGAATTGTGAATGCATGCTAATTGAAAGCAACAGTTCTTTTGCAGTATATTAGGGAATAAAGATGCTTGTGGGTTTTTTTTGCATTTTTTGCGCTTCTTTTTCAGAAGAGAAAAGAAGTAATTTTTACTCCCTCTGAAAAAGAGAAGACTTCTAAGCTGTTTCACCTGACGTACAATGTGGTGGAAGATAGTTACACAAGGATTTCCAATAATAATGAAAAAATAACTGGCTGGGAAGCAGGTGTTTGGAAGGCAGATTCTATCTGGAGGAAGGTTGAAACAGATTGGAAAATGGTAAGGAGGGTAACAATTCKAAAAACCTAAAATCTACCGTAGAAGTATAACAGCTCCAATCAAGTAGAAAATCCTTGCCCATATTTGACAGCAAAACATATTTCACTGCTTACAAGATTTACTTTAAGAGAGTAACTGTTATTTTTAAGSTTCAGATAGGATTGCCAGTTGATACAAGAAACTGGAAATAAAGTTACCTTTCCTTTCAGCAAGGAATGACTAAATTCTGGGCAGATAGCTGAAATCCCTACTGGAGCACAAAAGTTCAGATTCTGGCTTCCTTATGTTTTTGGACAGACAAAACTTTCATTAAAAAGAAGTGCAGCCAAGAGAAGAAATTTTCATCCTCAACATGATATTTCCATCTTCAAAAAGGCAAAAATTGGTTACCTGGATTGTTGGATCCTCTGCCCAGACTCCTTTCCCTGTCTGTCAGGACCCCAGGCAGCAGAAGCATCATGTACAACAAATAGAAGAAGAGGAGAATTGATGCTTGTGAGAGGGGAAAGGGTCATTTGCCAGCAAACCTGTTGCCTTGGTCCCTTGTCATCTTGCTAGCCTGAAAGCTCTCCAAATTCTGGCSAAATGGCCAAATTCTGCTAGCTCAAGCAGAGGTGTCCTCTCTTGTTAGCAAAAAAACCTGAGCTAGCTGATTCTCTTCTACTGTTTTCTTTGGACCTGTAAGTAACTAACTAGCAAAATGTTACGGGGGAATAGTTTGTAGAGGTTACTCTACCATTTAAAAAAAGAAAGGAAGAAACTTCAGAATGATATTAAAAAAGGATACCAAAGAGTAGGCTAATGGATAAAGAGAAGCATGGAAAAATAGGAATAAGGGGCAGCTGTTCCCTGAGTTCTGCTAAACTGCCATAGCACAGCATGACTGCAGGTCTCCAGTGATCAGTCAGCYTCGCTTCTGCAAGAAACGTCCTGTCACTGCAGTGAAATCACTCACTGAGCTCTTGGCTCTGCTAATTATGTGAAACAGGGAGGCTTTGCTCTGTAAGACCAGACATTAAGAATATACCCATGTTCAACAGTACCTCCATTTTTCCGGATAAAGTTAAGAGAAAGGCCCTGAGCAATTAGGAGTTACATATCCAGGTATATCTAAGGCTTGTGGCAAAGGCGAGGTAATTCTACACGAGCTGCATGTGCTAGATGCCTGTATATGAATTTGAGAGGAAGTTTTGTTGGAGAGGTTTTTATATTTGAGAAGGCAGCAGAGGAGAGATTGTTTGAGGTTTGCAGGTTCTTAAGACCACTAAGATCTTCAAGGTTTTAAGATCTGTAAGATACGGATGTGGGTTTTGATTGAGCAGCTGTCCAAGATCCCTTCCAGCCAAAGGACCCTTCATCAAAATATGTTTCGCTTACTGTCTATGGAAAGGAAAACAGATGTGAAAGCCACAGTAATGGGTAACTAGATATTAGCTCAGGAGTAGCAGAAAAGAAGTATCAGTTTCAGATACATAAATACAACGGAGACTGCAACTATCATGTGGGCTAAGATCAGCAGATGTATTTCCTTACTATAAATACATCCCCTAACTTTATGGAAAATACAGCTGCAAAACAGAAATTCAGTGGGACCAATTACCCCAAATAACTTGTCATTTTGGCTAAAACAACCAGGCCCCAATTGGTGACGTAAGAGCTTGTAGATCTAAAATCCATTTATTTTTTTAAAAACACTTTTTTTTTTTTCAGGGGAATTCCTTCCATGGAAATGAATTTAAATGAGGCTTTTTATTTATTTGTTTTTTTGGATTCAGACTACTTTTTTTGCCAGTAATTCTAGCAAAAGATTAGCCACATGGGTGAAGATTATATTATACACTCAAATGAAAGCAGATGCAGTTGTTACATTTCTCTAGGTACAACTTAGTGTAAAATCTTACACTTTTTTTTTTTAAACTTACTTTAACATGAGAATTATTTAGTCCTAAATAGCAATTCTAAAATTTTCTTCTATCGTCTGTGGATGACATTTTCCGTATTAGGATGGAATCTTTACAAAAACATTATTATTTTATTATCATCTTACAAGAGTTGTTCTGTCCAGATTAAAAGCTAAAGAACTATCAAAGTCCATTTAGTGTGACATTAATCAGAAGCTTGGAAATGACAGTAGACTTTTGATAACAGTTTCCTTTATTAAGGATTCTGGAAGAATCATGGCAGTTTTGACACTTCGAGCTGTAATGCCCATTTTATTGGTTTGCTGATAAGGGATGTTAGACTTAAAAGTACCATCAAAATCTTATTATAGAAATGTATGAGGGTTCATAGTAACTTTAGCGAATATTAAAATATGAGTGTGACTGTTCGGCCAACTGAAGTTTAGAGCAGCATTAAATTATGTAAATCTTTTAACAGCTTAAATAATGTTATTACAGYAGGTATATGTGGCTGGCATGTACTATGGCTTGGTTTAACCAAGATGTGCCAAGTCCTAGGAAAAGTGCTGTGCAACCAGCTGCCATGGCTGAAGAATCCAGAATCCCTGGTGGCTCTGCTGCTGCTGCTGCCGAGAAGCTGTGCAGCCAGAAGGGAAAGCAGCCACTGCCCTCTGGATTTATGCAAAATACAACTCTGCCCATGTAAAATAATAAACTTTGGAAAGGTTGAGCCACCAAAACAACTGAGCCTGGTGAAACGGTCTGTGGCCTTCCCTGGTGAAGGACTGCGAGTCATCTGCGCCTTCCTAACTACAGGAAAAGCTTAAGGATTCAGAAATAAATTGTAAACAAAGTTGTCCTGCATGTAATTCTGCTGTTTCAGCAAATTTTATTCACAAAATTTTATTTAGAAAGATAAAGGTGTATTAGCTTAGGATTTACTATTGTTGTTGCTATCTTTGATGAATCAGATGTGTGTTGACCGATGCCCTCTTGCCATGCTTGCTCTGTCTTCTTTCTGTTTTAGGTTTATTTAGCCCGGAAAGAGGGGTCATCCTCTGCTTCAATCCGCTGGAAGTTTGAGTGCAAGTCAGCTGGTCTAAGAATAGATAACGTATCAATTAGGACAAGTAGTCAGACCTTTCAAAGTGGAAGAATCAAGTGGAGAGCCTACTCCCCCACAGCAGAGGTTGCTCTGCTGGGAGGTAAAGAATTAAAATAAAAACAAGTAATTGTTTTTAGCTAATTAGTACACAAATACTGTGTAGTGCAAGTGCAGCTGCCCAGAGCACAATTAGCAAGAACACAGGCTGACTAGAAGATCATAATGGTTTTTTTACCAGGCAGGATAGATGGTTGTATGGGTGGTGCCTTCCTTCTTGTTTGGGTCCTCTGAGCACTGGGTCTATTAGCGCTACACAAATAAAATGCAAAACTTGTCAAATTTGCTTAATGTTTTATTTTCTAAATTTGCATAAATGTTTGTTGCAAGTTACCCTTGAACATGCATTCTAGCATTAGATGTTTTCTAGCCTCCTTTCTTCTAAAGCGGAAGCTTATTTGTTTGTTTTTTTCCTCCAATAGATAAAAATCTTTGCTCCTATTCAGATTTTTCTGGTTCAACAGAAGTTACATTGGAAGCAATCCTGAATGGAGGGGATGGGGAAGCAGCGTGGCAACACACCCAGCTCTTTAGGGAGAACTTAGAAGCATGTGGAGAAAATTGCTTGGAGATAATTATAAAATTCACTGACCTATGAGAACCAAATCACAGGAGATGCTCTTTGGGTTCTTCAAAGACATTCTGCCATGGGAACAACACAGGGATTTGGAGGGCAGTTCCCATGGATCCTGTTTCCCGTCTTCATGTAACCATCTGGAAGCTGCACGTATATTGAATAGGTAAACATCACAGTGGAAACAGTCCTTTTTGAAAACAAGCAAATGAGCAACAGCTGAAAGATAAAGTGATTACCCCTTTCCTTATCTATGATGAAGAGGAAATGGTATGGAGAGAGCAAAGCATGAGCATAAGAACTATTTTGATTGGGAGTTTTGGGATTGTTGTTGGGTGTGTTKTTTTTTATCATCTGCTATTTGAAATTACTGTTGGAGTGGATCACAACAGATGCAGGTGTGATGATTTTAAATCATTTTAAGAGACTAATAGAAGATTTACCTAAATGTTTTAAAAGAGATGATTTTATATAATCAGAAAAGCTGACAGATAAATATTTATGCAATCTTAAAATGATCTTGTTATATACTCAAGTGTTAAACTTGGATTTAAAACCCAGATATGTTTGGAAGTATGATAGTGTAGGAAAATAAAGAAATTTTGAAAAGTGCTCATTATGTATCTAAAACTTCTTTCATGGCCTGCAATATGAAACAGATTTTAAACGGGAGAAGAACATCAGAATTTTTCTCTGAAAAAATAATGTATGTATTTTTATGATATAAATTCAGATTTGTCCAACTTCTAAATGAAACAATAAAATGAGCATATAGATTGAAATCGCTTTTAAGCTGTTCTGTTAAATTGCATTACTGTTCCCAAATTTGATGTAAAAGTATATACACTTTCTCTATTCTTCATTACAGTCTCTAAACATCTTTGCATTGAATATAACAAGAACTAAAGAACTACCATCCAGGGGATCCAATTTTGATTCTAAGTCCGAGGTAGCAGCGCTGTGATTAGACTGAACGCCTGTGGAATGCTCAGGTCAGGTAGTTCCTGTGAGAGAATTTGAGGAAAACTGTGGTTGGATGGCTGGATTGCAGAAGAATTTTTCCGCCCTAGGACTATAATACAGAGTTTGTACTAGAGTGTTACTTCAAAATAAGAGGGGTTTTAAAATTGAGAGTGTTCTTAAGGTTAGTGTCTTTAAAGATTTTATTTTGGGGCCCTTCCAAATATTGTATTGATTTGAAGTGGCTGTTGAAAGTCATTTCCATGGAAATAAATGCTTGCTGACTTTTCGACAAATCTAAGCATATATAAGAATATTCACTGTGCATGGCCAGATTCCTAGTAAAACCTGAACACAGCCACCAAAGTTATACCACAAATATTTAAAAAAAAAAAAAAAAAAAAAAGCCTAGAAACACCCTATAGGGTGACAGCTCAGGTTCAAATATAAATTGGCACTTTGTGAGGGATTGGAAATACACAGTCCCGCTTCCTTATACAGAGCAGCTTGGTGACGGGGCCCTATATGGAATGGCATTGATCTGTACAAACTAATGCAAAATACAATTTCCATTCCTCTTGGGAAGCATCTGTGTTTAGTTTTAGCCAAGTGCCGGGCCTGTGATTTTGGGTGAGAACCCAGCGAGGGAATAGTTAGTGGAGCTGCATCCTGCAGCAGAAGGAAATGGGCCCCCAAACCCTTACTGGCACCAGTCAACAGGATCGTGTTGCTTCGTAATTGTGATAGCTCTTTAAGCTAGCACATACTTTTATTTTATTACTTAATCTATGAAAATAGAAGACTATTAGGAATTGCAGAAGAGCTTAAGTGCATTTGGTAATTTGAAAGCAGAAGGCAGAATAAATTTAACAGTAGTAAGATGAAAGTAATTTTCACCCCCTTTTGGTCAGAATCTCCGGGGGGGGATAATAGCTGCGGATAACTTAATAAAATCATCCCCACTTGAACACTACAGCAGTTAGAGTCCATTATTAAAAAGTCTGCATGAATTAAAAAGATTGAAAAATGCTTCACCAATCTAATTAATCRACAAATATTTCTGTCCTTGTAAGATTACATGCAATGAATAAAAGTGCTTATGTTAGGAAAGAATTAATGAGCAAAACCCAACGACTGAATAAACCAGATCTGTGAAAGTTAAATGGAGCTCCTCGGGTTTCTTTTGAAGTACCTTTTCTGCAATGGCTATGTTGAATCTCCTCATGCATAAAACTGCTTAAAAGGTACTTATTTTCAGTGTACGTATTTCAGTGCAATTCAACTATTATTTTTTAATTAATTTTTTTAAACTCAAGGTAGTTCTTCTGACAGCTAGCTGTGTTTCATGAGTTTGCTCAGTAATAATTTGCAGTGTCCTTAATTGGCAATATTGTGTTGTGGAAAGGTCTGTGCCACGATGTGCATACCTGTGTAGGTATGCAGTTGTGCAGAGAGTGCTCTGTGTGTTACTGGTTGAGTTGCTGGAGATACTCACCAAGGCACAGAAATTGGTCCTTACTCATCACCTCCTTCACCCTTTGAGGAAGGGGAAGTTAGATGAAAAAGGAAAATAATGCTGTTTCCTAGGACTGTGCAGTTTAATTTTTATATAGGTAAAACTGAGGTGGTTTTTAGAATTCAGTGCAGTTAGGTACAGTTTGGAGAAATACTGGCTGCCCCATGTGCCTGGATTGCACTCCAGAGGTAATCATCAAGAGGTAGGTAACAGTGAAGCCTTTTCAAACATGTTTCGTATAAACACTCAACTGTCCCACTGATGCTTGCAAACCAGTTTTGGATTGCATGGTTTCCAGCAGGATTATGTGAGAGCCTGTGCAAAGACTTCTTCCTTTTGCACAAGCATTTGTTTTACTKCACTGCTGTCTCATTGCAGTGGTCATGTAGCTGTTGTCTTTGTCTTTGCATCCCTGTTCCACTGAGTGCTGTGTACAAAAGAGCAGCCACTAGTGGCAACTGAAGGAATCATAGCAGCAATTACCTACGACGGGGCAAATGTGTCCTTGAAGCAGATGATGTGAAGAAAGCCTGTGAGGGGCAGTGCAGAAAGCGCAGATACACAAGCCTGGAGCGCACAAACYTCAATAGAAATGATAGATTTGCAATGAGAAGTAGGTAATGAAAATGATCTGGGAAAATGATCCCTGGATCCCGACTGCTAATCCATCACCTTTGCTCCTCAGTCAGGCACAGAAGATTTTCACATGWAATGGCTAAGACATGAGATAAAATCCCTATTATGTGGAGCATCAGGAAATGTAGAACACTAAAAATCAAATATGTGTGTGGCCATAGCACAGTGGAATGAAAACAGATGGCAGGCAGCGCAGGCGGCTGCCAGAAGCTGGGAACACCCATTCGCAGAGTTCYCCAGCTCCAAGCAAAACCAAACCAAACAAAGGAACTGCAAGGGGGACAGASTAGGCCAGGCACACAGCAGCATTTCTGTCTTCTTCCCCATGCCTCCCCTCGCCCTCTCTTTGCAGCGGTTATGGGGCGCTGTTGGTTAAGTTCAGCCTTGTTTGTGCTCATGCCCTGCAGCTCGGGCTCCTCTCCTTTTTAACTGTGAGTGCTCCTGCACTTGCTGAGGGTGGCTGGGTGCAAGTGACACTTGATGCCGCTCGTGAGCAGTTAGCCCAGACCCGAGGCAGGAGCAGAACCAGGTCATTCGTGCAGTTCCTTCTTCCCTGCAACAAGGCAACAAGGAGCCAGAGGAGCAGGATTTGGGGCCCTCTTGCCCTAGAATACGGTGCTTAGGAATGGCAAAGCGACGAACCAAGGTTAGACAGYCCCAAACGTTTGTATTTTAAGCACATGGATACAGTGAAACATCTAATAAGCTAAACGTGACTATGTCTGCCTTTCTTCAGAAAGTAGGGCCTTTTATCCTCTGTTTGGATTTTTATGTTTATTCTTAGGATTTGTTTTTTTATGGTAAGCTTTGTCATTAAGCTATTTGCTTAGTTTATGATTAGCCTGCTTCAGTTTTTGCTATTTTATCTTTCTTCTACACATTTCCATCTGATTTAAAACACATTTTAAATGCTTTTAATTTATACAGAGGATTGCAACTGTATGGTAAATATMCTATGACAAAAATCAGCTATTTTTTTCAGTAAGAGCAAACAAAAATGATAGATTAAAGTTCAAACTCAGCAAAAAAAGCAACAGTAATTAGAAYTGATAACACCCATAAACCAACAAAAATAGCAGGACTTAGTAACATTTAATGGGGAAAGAAAATGTAATGGACTACTTAATGASCCTAGTACTGGTAAAAGTAACTTTCTTGATTGACCATGTTTTTTAGATATTTTTCTACTTGCTCATGTATATTTAGCTGCCTTTGCAACCATTCAATAGAAGAAAATATTCTATTTAATTCTCTTCTAAAGGAATATTATCACTAATGATTATTTCAGTGACCAACATTGAGCACTGCTGAAGAGAGTGGAAGGGCTGAGTCTGAAGAACTGTTTGCATCTGCTGTGCAGCTGGGCCGAGTACTGGCTGGCCATGGCCCTCTGCTAGAGATTGTATAAACGGCAAGGAAAAGATCATTTCGCTTTATATTTTGAATATAATGTTTCAGAGTATGTTCTGTTAGTCTGAATCTTTCTGTCACAATTGATAATAACAATGCTATGTTATTATCATTCCATATCCTTTGAACTTCGGTTGCTTGACTTTTATCTCCCTTGTCCTTGAAGTCCTGGAGGACTATCAAATATTAAACATTTCTCAAAAATTAAAAATCATCGGTTAGCAGTTCAGCCCTGTCCCAAGCATGAGATGCTGCCTGTATTTTAGGTGTGCACTTCACATAACAACCTATGGGAACCAGCTGATGTAAGGAAAGGAGGCACCCGARAGTAATGTTCAAACAAACCCTCAGTGAGGTAGGTGGAACAATTGGTCACAACCTTTAAGAGCAGATGGGAGGAGCAGCAGGGAAAGTATGGAATGGAAAGAGCTGCTTCCTTCTGCATTACTGCTGTGGTGAGGAGGATACAAAGGGATATAAAGCCAGTGTGTGTTCGCGCTGCATCAAAACGCAAAATGATGTTGCTAGAGTGCAACAGGTTTTGCTTTTGGCCAAAGCATTAGGGAAAGGTATATCCAAAACAAAGCTCACCACTGGCTACACGGTGTAGGACTATGCAGACGTGCCCCACGCTGTTTTGATTTGGGTGCTTCCTTTTGTTCTGGTGTTTGGGTAGGAGTCTCTGCATAAGTGTACCTAAGAGGTTTTGGTGATTTTAGCACTGGTAGCCTTGCTCTAGATCTGGTAGATGTACTGAGCAGAGCAAGGCAAAATAAAATAACAGTTTGGAATCTCTCTGGAAGAACAATAGAGGTAGCAGCACAAACAGGAAGTGGCTGGAGGCTATGGATGATTTTTGACACTTAAGGATAGGAAMATCTAAAGTCAGGTTAAGGTTGAGAAGTGAATGGCAAATTGGGGGTTTTGCTTAACAAACTGAGCAAACTTTGTTTTTTTTTAAAGTAATTAAATCTTTTCAGAAATAAAGCATTATCACATAGTCTTGTAAAGCAAACGGTGCCTTAAGCAAGTTCTTGCTCATGTTCTTTCCCAAGTGCTAGAGCTGTGTGTGGACTTCCTCTGTAACAAGTCCCAGTCCCTGCCAGAATTGCTGCTGGTATCGGTTATTTCTT